TTCCTTTTTCACTATTTTCGAGTCGAATCGGGCGAGTCTGGTACGACTCGGCATTTTTTAAAACGCTGATTTCATGGCTTGGCTGCATGAGGAAGGAAACGAAGGAACGCCATGACTCTGCCTCGCGAAAGAGCTACGGAGCGATAGCAGGGTAGTTCGGACATATTGTACAAACATTGGAGTTTGAAATCTAAAAAGAAACCCATGTCCATTTGGAAAAGTTAAAAAAAATGAGACTATTCACCTTTGATATAAGATAAGATAAATAAGTTTTTCATTTTTTTTGATAAAAAAATAAAATAAAAAACATATCATATTAAAAGTATTTTTACTTTTTATTGAAAGTATTTGTAAGACAAACCCTATAATATTACCCCGAAAGAATGCGAGATAATATGCATTATATGTATCTCATGTTGCATTTTTTAATGAGAGCAAACAACTACCCCCATTTAAATTTGTGGGAGCACTTCATGGGACTTGTCGCGACATTACAATGGTGAACAATTATACATTTTTCTCCCGCGGGAGCACCGTATTCTGAAATGGTCCATCGCTGCTCCCTCCACAATTTCGCGGCAATGCGTTTAACTGGTGTTTGAAAGAAGCCGGCTCGGCTTTGTTCCTGTTGTATCTATTGAAAAGACAAAGATGATGGCTGTCTCTTCCTCGGAAAACCCTAGGTTCTTCCTCGGAAAACCCTAGGTTTTCTGATTTATTAGGGTTTCTGCATTTTATGACCAGGAAGAAGAGGTTTTCATGGTAATTATACTGCATTTTGGGGAAAGAAATAGTCTTTCATGGATGCTTAGACTGTATTCTTTTAGGGCAGTGTATAGGCTTCATGGCAGCTAATATCGCCATGGCTTCTTTGCCTTTGCTTCTGTTTCTTTGCATGGGTGTTACTGTGTACTCTGATGCTTTTGATCAAAGATACAAACATGGAGATTTTGTTCCTCTTTATGCAACCAAAATTGGTCCTTCCCATAATCCCAGGTATTCTACTCCTTTTTTTTGAGTTTTTTTTTTTTCTACTTATTTTCATTGGATTACTTGCTTGTCTTGCTAACCCAGTCATTGATTTTTTTTTATTTTTTTATTTTTTTTGGAGTTTGATTTTTCTATTTGGTGCGTGTTATTTGAATTCTTTGAGGTTTTGTAGTTTTTATTTTTCTGTTCCTTTGTGTGTGTGTGATTTCAATGGGTGATTCCAGGTACTCTGTTTATTCACTTTCTGGCTTTCTGTTTATTTATTGGTTTTGTGAAGTTGTGTTTATCATTTTTACTGTTTTTCTTTGCTGGTGTTCTTTTTCTTATTTTGGATGATTTTCTAGGCAGCGGGCTTAACGAGCTTTATTTGTTATTTGAGAAATAGTCTTTTATTTATTTTTATTTTTTTGGGTATTTCAACGGCAGGATTGAACTTGGTATTTAATGTTATAGTAGTCAAGCTTGTGCCTGAATCCTTAGTTAAATGTGTCTTGAATATTTAAGGTTTCTCGAATTGGATCAATATTTTCATATTTCTGCATCACTCAAAGTGAAATGATCAGACCAAAAAATTGAATTCGGATATGAATTTTAGATTTTTTATTAAATATTGGAATGTCCTTTTTTGTGTAATATATTTCAGTAAATCTATATACTCAGTCGTATTTTTTGTGGGAAGGAAGGTGTAATCTCATAATTTTTGATGGGTTTACCGGCCTTCAAAACTTGCGGATAAAATTTAGGTATTTGGAGAAATGGAGTTAATTTGGGAGATACTGACTTTGTTGCCATACACAATCTATCTTGTTTATTTTGCTTTCAGTGAGACTTATCGGTATTATGATATGCCCTTCTGTTCACCAGGTTTGTTTGCAAAACTCTTGTGTGTTCTATATTTCTGCTGGTTTGATTTTTTTTTTTCTCCTTCAAGTAAAGAGTTTTGCTTCCTTGAAATGCAGAGCATGTAACTGAGAAAAAAGAGACTTTTGGAGAATTTTTGAATGGTGACCATTTGGTTGATGCTCCTTATAAACTTGAATTTCGGGTTAATAAAGAATCTGAGATTGCTTGTGGAAAGAAGTTATCTAAAGGAGAGGTTGCACAGTTTAGAAATGCGATCCTAAAGGACTACTACTTTCAAATGTACTATGATGATTTGCCTATCTGGAGCTTTTTTGGGAGGACTGAGGAGGGTAACAGAGCTGATGAGTTTAAATATTTGCTATATAAAAACATCAACTTTGACATACTTTACAACAATAATCGTGTTATTGAGATAAATGTTTGGATCAACTCGTCTGACACACTGGATATCACGGAGGACAAGGAAATTGATATGGAGTTCAAGTATTCTGTGAAATGGAGAGAAACTGATATTTCTTTCAAAGAAAGGATGGAGAAGTATGTGATGTTCTTTTCGACCCACCATGGCAGGAGTAATTGGTTTTTGGCCCTAGATCCGTGTTTGAATGTTCTTATCTTCGTTGGTTTATTTTCTAGCTTTATCTTTGGGTTGCTTAAGAAAGACATTGTGAGGTCAGTATCTTCTTCAGTTTGGTTTATTTTTTGTTTTTTTATTTTTGCTGACTCATGCAATGGATAATTATATGTAATAACAATGGTCTCTGACACACACCCAACGGAGAAGAAGAGAATTAAAAGTTTACAGAGAGAGAATTATATTGTATTTTGTTTTCACCATGTGAGAAGCTAGTCTCTAAAATTCATGTTAGGTAAAAACAAGAACAAATCTCTCAAGATCTCCGAATATATCGGATTTCTAGAGGGAGTGGGCAAGTTTGCCCTGTACAAGCCAATATTTCTGAGTTGATCGACTCCTACATGACTATCAGACAGGTTCTATAAGCCATGGCTCTTTGTTTTGTTTTTTGTATGATAAATTATCTGCTTTATTGCTTTATTAACTATGTGTTCCTTGTGTTTTCTGTGTTCAAAGATATTCCCTGGATGATGAGGAGTCTGTTTATGAACAAGAAGAGACTGGGTGGAAGAATATTCATGGGGATGTTTTTAGATATCCAAAGCACAAGTCTTGGTTTGCTGCCATTCTTGGGTCTGGCACTCAACTGTTGGCGCTGTAAGCTCACTTTCAGAAGTGTCTTACTTGATACTAATTTCCAATTCTCTCCATGCAGCACCAACCCCCCACCCCCTGCCCAACCAAAAAAGAAAAAAAAACTCTCTTTCTCTCTCTTCCCTTAGTTGAGAACTCTATTTATCTTTCAAGAAAAATATTTGAAGGAGTGAAAAATGGAGGATCTGCAGTTCTATGGTTTTTTGCCTCGTGAAATTAACCTAGGTGGTGAATTGCTCATCATGTATGTCAATGTGCTTATTTAGTTTATAATGGGTTATTTCCATATGTTTCCACCAGTGCAATCTTCATCTTTATCCTGGGTCTTGTTGGTGTCTTCTATCCATACAACAAAGGAGTTCTATCCACTGCTTTGATTGTTATATATGCACTTACATCCAGCATTGCAGGCTACACTGCAACCTCCTTCTATTGCCAGCTTGACGGAACAAATTGGGTGAGCATCCATTCTCACAAGTGATATCTAATGGTCTCATATTTTTTTCCACAATCCCATGTTATCTGATTTTTTTTTTTTAACAGGTGAGATGCCTCTTGTTGACTGGGTGCCTCTTTCCTGCCCCTTTGTTCCTCATGTTTTGCTTCCTTAACAATGTTGCTCTGGTGTACAACTTCGCAACTGCTTTGCCATTTAGTGCCATTGTTGCGATTGTTCTCATGTGGTCCTTTGTGATGTCTCCATTGCTCGTTTTGGGAGGGATTGCTGGTAAAAATAACAAGACTGAATTCCAAGCTCCTTGCCGCACTACAAAATGCCCAAGAGAGATTCCACCTTTGCCATGGTATCAAAAGACTATTCCTCAAATGGTGATAGCTGGAGTTTTGCCCTTCATTGCCATCTACATGGAGCTATTCCTTGTATTAGCTAGCATGTGGGGTCACAAGATTTATTATACATATGGCGTCCTCTTTATGGTATTTGTTGTTCTTGTTATTGTCACTGCGTTCGTTGCTATTGCATTGGTATACTTCCAGTTGGCTGCAGAAGACCATGAATGGTGGTGGAGGTAAATCGATGAACATAATTATTTTTATTGGTGTCATTGCCTTCTTTTGTGATGTTGGTGTCTATTTGGGTTCGATCACTTGTTCACCAAAATCTAGGGAACTTTTCTTTTTCTTGCTTTCTTATTTTTATATAATTTACAGTATATGCAGGAGGTTACCAGTCCTTCCATTTTCTACAAGTTCGTTAACATGGTTTGTGTGTGTATATGCGTGCGTAATGTGTGCTAGTTTGCTACTTCTATCACTAGAGCATGGATGACACTTGTTGAATCTTTTTGTAGCCAACTTTCTTTGGATAAATTTTTGCGTTTTTCTCCTCTGGCGACATTTCCATTTGCTTTTAGTTTTTGGGCGATCCTGTTTTTCCATAGCGGCCATTAGTCCACAAAACTTAGAAGCTTGGAAACAAATTTCTCTCGTGTTGTCTAGATAGACCCTTGCTCAGAAATATTCATTGAAGCAATGTTTGATTTCAAATTTTTTTTTTGCAATGGGCTTGTTTGAAACTTGAGAGATCAAAGAAGGCTGGAGAGACTTACCCACTCGTTCCTTTGAGTATGGTTTTTTTTTTTTAAATATCTGGGGATTAATTTAATTACTTTTTCCTTGCCACTTTGTACTTTCTCATGAGCTTCTTTTGCAGGTCTGTATTACGTGGGGGTTCGACTAGCCTTTTCATTTTTGGCCAGTGCTTGTATTATTACTTTGCACGTACAGACATGTCCGGGCTCATGCAAACGTCCTCGTTCTTTGGATACATGGCTTGCATATGCTATGGGATCTTCCTCTTGCTCGGAACAGTTGGTTTCTATATATCTTTGGTGCTTGTGCGATACTTATATGGGTCAATTAAGTGTGAGTAGTTTACTCTTTGGATTTTGTTTGGTGCCTATGCACATACTTTCTTCTCCCATTTACCCAATGATTTGGCTAAATAAATAATGCTGAGTATACTAGACAATTGTTATTGGGTCAATAACTCAGAACTTGGAATTAGTAGGGCTTCGGTGAGGCCTCTGTTATTAATCACCTTAGTTTGGGGATGACGAGCTTTTATTATCAGGTAAAGGTTCTTTGTGGCTGTCTTCTATCTGGGAGAATTCTTAGGTTTACTAAGAAAGTGCAATGTATGTATTATTAGCAACTCCTTTCTTCTGAATGAGAGCTTACCTTACTTATTTGATGATCAGCATGTCATGCCTTTGGAGTTCCCTTTTTTCACTCATTCTTTGATTCTTTTATTTACCACAAGAGAGAGCGTTTCAATTTGATCTTGCTGAATAGAACTGTATTAGCTCGTATCAATGAATAAAAGGTATCATACAGAAGCTTATTATTTTAAGTTAATCTCAATTTAGGCACCTTAGTTCATACTTCATACTATACCTAGTTATATTTTATTTTTATTTAAAGAAAAAATGTTCCTCCATGTAGGGAATTTTGGAGTGCTAATAAATTATTCTTGCATATATTTATCTCTCGGAAACTCCCCTCACACTAAAGTTTCCTTGCATATGTGAGATTAGGATAAACATTTGAATATTAGGTTTTTTCTTTTTATTTTATGTTTTATTTATTTTAAGTTTGTTAGTTTTAAATAAAATAAGAAGCACACTTTCTTTTCTTAAAAATTTAAATTTTTATTGTGTTACAGTTTTTTAAAATTATTTTAGTTTTTGTGGAGCTAATCTTATTAATAGGAGTCTTCATATTGTGGAAGGAGATGCATGCTACATGCCATTGGCAATGTTGAATGATAAGCATGGCCACCTTGAGAAGTTTGATATCCTATCTTTTGGAGCCCTCCTTATTTGAAGGTTTCTGGTTCTCAGTTCTCTAAGATTTGGAAGGGGAAGCTCTCATTGCTTTCTGGATATTCTCTTCCATTTCAAAATTTATTGAAGCTAAGAGGCTTGTTTTTTTTAACATTGATTCTTTTGTCTGTCCTTTCATCCTCCTTTTTTTTTTCTTTATTTCATGTAAAAATATTCTTTTTTTTCTTATACATCAAAATATGCTTAAATTATATCCAGAAACAGTAAACTCAAGTATAATTTTAGAACAGTACCACCTGAAATTGTAGTTTCTTGAGACTCAACGAGTGAGATTGTTGATCTATTGCAAAATGTTGACTACAAAGAAAAAAAAAGGAGTTTTGAGATGCAACCAAGGGATTCTGAGACTTGGAATCATGTTTGAACTGATCCTTATCTGGAAATTGTACCTTTCTAAGAGAGAAACCCAGGCTGCTGCCATCTTGGAACAATTAAAATCCAGAATGAATGAATGGTTTTTTACTTCCTTTCCCTACTAATGGAAAAGGAATATTGTTTATGCTAATTACCCCAAAAAAAAAAAAAAAGTCTAAAATAGCACATGTATTTTAGAGGCAAAATTACAGAAATCGCCCAAGTATACACTTCCTATGCAACTTACCCCAATCCAACCTTTTCTCTCATTTTTTACCCCAAAACATATTTTCCTCGCAAATACCCACACAACCCAAGAAAAACAAAAAAAAGACTAAACTACTCTAACACTTTTACCCACACCTCTCTCTCCTCTTTCCCTCGTCCAGTCAAAACTGTGGTTTACCAATCAAAACTGGGTCTAGCAGTCAAAACAAGCGGTCCGAGACTTTTTGTCCTGGTCAAAACTGCGGTCCGGCAGTCTAAACAAGCGATCCGACACTTTTCGTTCTTGTCAAAACTGCGATCCGATAGCATAGATATGCGGTCTGGCACTTTCGTTCTGGTCAAACTTGTGGCCTGGCAAATTGAATAAGTGGTCTAACATTGTTGTTTTTGGACAAAAATGTCGTTCGGCAAAACAAATCCACGCTCCAGCACTTTTTTTTCTGGGTGCGGTTTGACAAATTGAACAAGCAGTCCGGCACATTTGCTTGGACACAATGCGGTCCGGCAGAGAATGAATGCGATTCGTCATGTTTTTTCAGTTTAATGCGATCCGGCAATGGACTCATGGCTGTCTGGCAGCCCATGTGGCCTTTGGTACTATACGTATGCCCACGTGAATGTTCGGCCAAAATTAATTTTTTTGTATGAAAAGGGCATTTTCATAAAAAAAATGTGTCTTTTTGTACTTGGGGGTATTTGCTAAGAAAGTAAATTTTGGAGAAAAATATGGGAGAAAAGTTAAGTTGGAGGTAAGTTGCATAAAAAGTATATTATTGGGGGTTATTTGTACTTTCCGTATTTTCAACTTATACGGATCATTCACTCGAACTTGTATTTTAAGTTACAAATGAACATCATTAGTTATTCTTCTGATTTTCTTTTATTCAAACTTGCAGTTTGTTTTATATTTAATTATTCTATTTCTTATCAGTGATGGATGTTTCTCAATCTTGGCTTCAACCTCTGTGTACACTTAATGGCTTCAACCTCTGTGTACACTTAATGAATGATCATGCCAAGAGTATGAAATTTTGTTCTAGATGAGCTAATTCTTATTACACAACCAGTTTGGCCACTTTCGACTTAAAAGAAATTAAGAATTTGGTGAGAGAAGAGAGAGAGAGAGAGAGAGAGAGATTGCTTTTGTTGGTTGCCTGAGGTAAAGTTTGGCACTGATCATAATCTGGAGAGAGAGAGAGAGATTTAAACATTCAGAAAAAGAAAAAAGGGCAAAGGAGGGAGGGGGTTGAGTGCATATAATTTTGTTTCCTGTAACTTTTGAGGGAAAAGGTGTTCAAGTTTTGTACAAGTAACATTTCCTTCCTATATGCAATGTCTACTGCATTGCCGGTAGTTCAACCTGTGTTACATTAATCAATGTGCAGCTATTAAATATTCTTGAATTTTTTTGGAAATATATAAAACAATTATATTAATAATTATCATCAGAGTTTTATTTTAATTATTTGAAGTCAGCTACACGAATCATGATCCGTCATTCTACTTTAACAAGGGCCATACTCTCAGTAAGACTATAAAACCTCGTATCTTTTCTCACTACTTTCATCTATATCTTTTTGGACCCTCTTCTTGCTTTTTACATGAAAACAAAGTCCACCTCCTAACCAGTACAGTATTGGGTCTACTTTACATATTGTCAGCTCATCTAAGTCAACTTGCCATCATCTTAGTGCCTATTAAAACTACATCTATATTCTCTCGAAGATATTATTTTGAATTCTATCATTTTTTATATTTCTATTCATCCATCTCAAAAATTATATAGAGTAATAGTTGTTAAAAAATGTGGAAGTATTAAGCTCCACACAAACTTAAAAAAAGAAAAATGGAATAAAGGAGAAAAATACAATATAATCCCATATAATCATGATACTGACATTGACAATACCGTTTATCTCCATGCAATCAATGAGTAAAGGGGTAATGGAGACCGGAGACATGACTCAATTAATTAAACCCTTGGTGGGAACCACTACTCTCTATCACCATCCAACCTATTGATGGGATGGTGATAAACCCATAATGATAAAATAGATAATATTCTACAGGCCCAAGGAAAAAAGGATTTCTTGTACCTCTCTTTAGAAGTTTAAAATGCTATGAATTCTTGCATACACTGTGATTTTCATTTCTTATATTTATAGGATCATAAATGCTAGTGAAAGAAAAGGGTTAAATTGTCAAGATTTTATCGTTGATTTCAGGGCACAGGAAATATCCGTTCACTCTATCATGACGAACTTTGGGATTTTCATTGTAATAAATTGCAAGACACTTCTATAAAGTGTTCATATGATTTTCATTATAATAAATTACAAGACACTTCTATAAAAGTGTTGACCTGTATTGAAAGTTGATGACATAATTCGACTTGCTGGTTAAAGTATTGATCATGTGTCTTTAAGTTTCGAGACTTGTCTCAATGTTGACATGACACCAAGCTAAAAAAGTAAGGGGTCTAATAACATCGCTTGGATCCAAACTCCTGGATTTAATTGAGTTGGCATGTCTCTAAACCTTGTCTGAATTGGACTTGTTTATGGAGGATTTTGGACCGGGCTTCACATCGTTTCATCGAACTTCAATTGGTAGGCATGGGTTTTTTTTGGGTGAGTCATTGGGAAGAGTAGCCCCTACTCTTGGTAGGAATTGAGCCTAGCGTTGCAAATTGTTAGGCTTGGGTTAGGGTTGACCAAAGCTAACCCCGGTTGGTTTGAAGCCCTAGACAAGTACACATGTCAACTCAATTAGTAGTTAATAGCATAGATTAGGGATTGTAGAAAAGGTATTTGATGAGACCGTTGTGTCATGCATGTTTCTAAATTTTCTAGGGAATTTTTGGTTCACATGAAAATATTTTCATGTGAAATTTTTCTCTCATGTGGTTAGGTGTGTGAGAATATTTTCACATCATTTAGTTGCCAATTGGTGTAAAAAGATACATAGGGATCAGTTTGTGTGAAAATATTCCTACACCTAATAACATATGTGAATTCTTTTATATGAAAATATGAAAATATTTCACAAAAAATATTTTCACGCAAAACAAATATTCGACTTGAAATGCATATCAAATCATTTAACTTCATATTTCTCTCCAATCAATGAATCCAGAGCTCGAAAACTATGCAAATCTCATGATTAAGGAAAATTGAAATGTATGATGCCAAACACAAAAGAAATGAATTTCTTCGAATTCATGATAGTAGTAGCCACATAATATCAAACTTTGAATCCACAGTCAACTTCGCATCTAAATCCATCACTAACATAAATTTGGAAGGGTGAACTAAGTGTAATAGATGTCTCACTTTTACTGTTATACATAAATTTGGCAGCTTGGGTGTATCATCAATTGGTCCAAGAAGATGGGAAGTTATAAAAAATATCTTTATATATTTCAAAGATTAAAAAATACTATTTTTTTTTAAAACTTATGTCCATACGCCGTACCTAATAATTTTTTTTAAACCTAACATGGCCACGATGCTCAAGGCTTCCCCGCTGAGCTTTTTCCTTGAGCATCACGGATCTGTTAGAGCCGTCATGTCCTTTTCTTGGATGCCTTGAGTGCATCCAAGGCACCCAATGTGGGGCCTGGCATCATGGGCCGTGATGGTGCATCAGGCTCTTAGGTTGTTGATGGTGCATAGTAGCTTTGTTAGGGTCGTGATGCCCAAAAAGAGCTTGGTGGGCGAGTTCTTGGGCATCATGATTCTGCTGGGGCTGTGAAGAGTATTTTGGGGTTAGAAAAAGGGA